TAACAAAGCCTATAAATGATGGTACAGAATATGTTAAGTGTATTTAAGAAAAAGGGAAAACAGTGCAAGAATAGAACTTAAAATTCAAAAGTAGCAATAAAAAAATATACAGATCAAATGAAGAAAATAGCTAGTAATGGAGACAGTCCGGCAGCCTAGTAAAATTAATATCTAGCCAACAGTCATCAGCTCATAGCTAAGGTAAAGGCAAAGAAAGATGGGCTTTCAGAGCATTTTCAGCCCTGAGCTTTTGTATCACAGGGATTAGTTTTAGGTTTTTCTCATATTTTGAAATGTTGCTCATGGACAAAGTGTACATACATCTCTATACTGGTCATTTTGTAGTTAATGTCAAAACTGAATTCAAGAATACCGTATCACTTTTAAGTTGCTTATAGTGAGTTTATATACATGGAACAGTTTTTGTAAAATGGACATAATATTGTTTCATATAAATCCAGGGAAGATTTTGTGATATTGTATCATTGTCCAAATAGTAGATATCATATCATAATGACAATGCAGATTTACAACCTTAGTAGTAGGTTATGGTAAGGTTTGGGTTTCGTTAAGGTAAAGGGAAGAGAGAGACAGATAGAGAGATGGAGAGAGTGGACCCAGGAGGGCCTGAGTGACTTGACGTGTGTAGCATTACAATGAAAAACAAATTCACTCATTTGGGTAAAATAGAAAATTAATATGCAGTGGTAAGCCCTCTGATTTTGTTTATCTTCACATGACTCATAAGGTGATAATGACCGATTAGTGACAGCATCATTTGCAGCAGGTCACTTTGCAGCACCACAGGAAACGAAATGTGCATGAGGATGATGTTTTCGTGAAGTGCCTCATATCAATATCCACCGACTGCTTAAACCTCCTCCAGTGAAATGGAAGTGGCAGGTCTCTGACACCTTTATTTTCAGGGTTGGGGGCTGAAATGTCCTGGTTTATTACATCTCAGCTCTTTGCGTGCGCAATACATGATCGTTTTTCATCTCATCTATAAATAAATCCGATTTTGAGGCTCATTGCTGACTTTAACATGATGATTCAAAACCTTTCATAACCAGTTTGAGCAAACAATTAATACCACAAACAACTACACAGGGGTAAGAGCACCAACACATTACACCAGAGTACACCCCAGTAACATCGGGGTGTTATTGTTAACTAGCAATACACCGAAATCATAGCAGCAATGTAGATAAATGTCACATCAGCATTCACCGAGGAAGTCCAATACCCTTATTACACAGAACATTTTTAGCTGTCCATTAGCAGGAGCTAAATATTGCGGAGACAACAATTCTATGCGACACAGCTAACATGCTAGTCAGCTAGCATGCTAGTAGTAGCCACACACCAGCTGTGATCGAGGCTGTCAAACTTGCCCAGGGTGCTGCAGGCCAGGCCGATGCGCAGACGTTATCCACCGTGCGATTACAACATGTATCTTTAATATCAAAGTCATTGCACTACCCAAGTCTCCAAGGCAAAAACAGCCTTTTGTAACGTAATGTCGCGTGAACACACCAAATCTGCAGTAGATGCTAATGCTAGCTAACTTGCTAATTATTTGAGGAGTCCACTCACCCAGCGGTGTTAACAGTTGGATCCGATCGGTCGTCGTCTGTTTGTTTGTTTTCTGTGTTAACCACTCTTAACTCCTTTTCACAACGTTGGGGAGATTCGCATCTCTACGAAATCATCAAAGCACTGCACAGCACAAGATGATGTTTGCATAGTGGTGCTTCAGCTAGTGCTTTCAGAGGGTTCAGGGACGGGAGTGGGGGTGTGATCAGCGAACCGACAGTGGGGGCTGCCACAAATTGTAAGCGGCAACAAGCAGCGACATACTGGGAACTTCCGCCGTTTGTGGCAGCTGCCGCAGCTCGTTGTGTGGCTGTCAGTCAAATCGCTGCTCGCTGTTGCAGCTACGTCTTTTCGCTGTTTGTGGAATCTGCTGGTATCTGTAGCGTTAAGGGTTCATTTAAAAGTGTAATTGGCCTACATTGAATATCGGCAGCTACGCCTGCTCGTGGCAGCTGCCAGAGATTCGAACCTGCCAGCTGTCAACAATGGCAGTTGTCATGTCATATCATGTGCTCCTGCACATGATATTACCATGTGTATAGGGAGGTGAACAGGTAATGGACTGATGAACTTCAGGCCTGACTGATTTTGTTGTGAGGTGGTTATGTTATAGGAAGGGGGGGTTGTTTGCAGCTGGTTTGGTATGCTGGCATTGAGAACCAGCAAGATGGGGATAAGCTCATTTCTATCAGCAGGGGAGGTCTTCCATTGTCTTTGGTTGGTTATGGGTGGGGACAGGAGCTTAAGCCGCTATGTAGGCCTACAGTGTGTTTGTTTGTATAATTTATGAGCATATTTGTTCTTGGTCTATCAGAACGTCTATTTTGGGTTTGTAAGCTGAATTAACTGGATATGTGTAGCTTATTGATCTCTCTAACTTCTTGACTGGATCATATACAGGCAATCACAAGGTGTCCATAACAGTTTGCCTATTATGTGCATAAGCTGGTCATGATTACTTATAAATCTACAGAAATACAGAAATAGACACAACATTTCCATACTGGTAAAATGAAATAAGCATCTTCCAATACAGCAATACATTTAACAGGTTCACATATTAGCAACTAATATAAGTCTATATCAAGCACTGTATGGGATTAGTGAGCTAGCCACAACGCTGTTCCAAACCCAACTCCCAAAGTTGGGACGATATGGAAAATGCAAATAAAAAAGACAGGAGTAATTTCTAAATTTAATTTGACTTGTTTTTCATTGCAGACAGTATGAACATAAGATATTTTATGTTTTGTCTGGTCAACTTCATTTTATTTGTAAATATACATTCATTCCTGCCATTCAGGCTTGCAACACATTCCAAAAAAAGTTAGAACGGGGGTAATTTAGGGCTAGTAATGAGGTAGAATGATTAAAAGATGAAGTGATTTGAAATAGGTGATGTCAACAGGTGATTGTTATCATGATTTAGCATAGTCCTTTAGGAGCAAAGATGGGCTGAGGATTGCCAGTTTGCCAACAAATGTTTGAGAAAATTATTGAAATGTTTAAAAACAGTGTTCCTCAAATAAATATAGGAAGGGATTGGGATATTTAATTATCTACAGTGCAAAACATTATTAAAAGTATCAAGGAATCTGGAGGAATTTCAGTGTGCAAAGAGCTGACTAATTGTATTCTCCAATGCATCAAGAACCATCATTCATCCATAAGCGATATAACCACATGGGCTCAGGATTACTTTGGCAAACGTTTGTCAAGCACTACAATATGTAGTTTCATACACAAATGCCAGTTAAAACTTTACCATGCCAAAAGGAAGCCTTATGTTAACCATGTCCAGAAGCACTGCCAACTTCTCTGGGCTCAAAGGCATCTGGGATAAACCATAACACAGTGGGAACGTGTATTGTGGTCAGAGTAGTCAGTATTTCAGGTCTTCTTTGAAGGAAATGGACACTGTTGTGCCAGTGCCCTTAGCAAAGGTAACTTACACTTCTGTGATGGCACCATTACTGCTAAAAAGTACATTGAGATTTTGGAGCAGCATATGTTGCCTTCAAGACGACATCTTTTCCAAAGACATCCAAGCATATTTCAACAAGACAACGCAAAACCACATTCTGCACACATTACAAAGGCATGGCTGCTGAAGAAGAGGGTGGGGGTGCTGGACTGGCCTGCGTACAGTCCAGACTTGGCCACAATAGAGAATGTGTGGCGCATTTTGAAATGCAAAATGCAACAACAGAGACCCCGTACTGTTTGCAGGAAGAATGGGACAAAATGACACCTGAAACGCTTCATCACCCGGTGTATCTTGAGTCCCTAAATGTTAAGTGTTGTGAAAAGGAATGTCAACATTTCAAAGTGGTAAATGCTGCACTGTCCCAACTTTTTTTTTAAAATGTGTTGCAAGATACAATACCTTATTGGGTGTTTGTACATTTACAATAAGGAATATACTGTGGGGGTGTTTGTACATTTAAAAAAGCTCAACACCATTGACCATTGAAACTGGAACAATATGGCATCAGAGTAATAGCACTGTCATGGTTGAAGAGTTATCTTGAAGACAGATATCAATGTACACTTAAACAGTGTTGATTTTAATTTACTGAAGGTCTCTTGTGGTGTGCCACAAGGTTTTATTTTGGAACCCAAACTGTTTATACTGTAGTACTGAGATTTGCAATGTGTCTCAATTGCTAATATTTGTTCTGTTTGCCGATTATACTAATATAAACTGTTTAGGAAAGCATTTGGTACGACTTTTACATATAGTAGAAAGAGAGCTGAAAGTTATAAATTAATTGTTTGACACTAACAGCTTATCACTGAATTTAAGTAAATTTAGATAATGACTAATTGAATTTTGCTATAATGTTATTTTGTTAAATTCATGCTTTTTGTGCAAAAAAACGTAAATCTTCATTGCGTCTATTACCCAGTAAAGAAATGAAAACAGAAGTTAAACCAAGCTAAATGGGAAAGAAAGGGATGGTAGATAAAAACACTTTTTAACCTTTTCAACTGAGGGTAATATCAGTATGTATAGTATAGGAAAAAGGTATAGCTCAAATTATGTTGTGGAAAGTTTTATTCTGCAAGGGAGTATTATCAGTCCAGTTCAGTCCTAATAAATAACTTTTGTAGTAGTGTATATAAGTCTATTAGTGTGACTTTATTTGCTGATGATGGGGTCATGTGAAGAAAGGGGAAGGAATAGTATTGAATACATAATAGAAAAAAGAATAAACAAAGGAAAAACATGGGCAGTTAAGTGGGGATTTAGATTTTCTGTGTTGATTTTAAAAAGTTTGTTTTAAAAAAAGGAAAATTTGAGATCAGATTATGGAGATCAAGTGGACCAGCTTTAAAAACTGCACATATTGGATTAATCAGGGTAACTCTTTAAGGTCAGTTTTACAGTGACTGTTAAGATCTCAGTTGTGGACGTAGTTGGTAGGATTCAGGGGCGGACATGCAGGCAAACCAACGGCTGACTGGTTAGTTACTTGACTCAGGCAGAGAAACAGGTTGATGGATCACAAGGACAGATGTAAAACTCGAGCCAATACTGGTCGATATTAGCACATAGTTGGACTGTATAATCTGGTGATGAGTGGAGGAAAGACCAGAAGATGATGTGTTGGTGGCGGTAATGCTTTTTTAAGCTAGTTCGGCAACCTTGGATAAACACAGTATCTTGAGCTTTCTCCTGGAGAAAAGAGTCCAGCTGTTGTTTTTTAAAGAGCAATTGGTTAGTGTTGTTAGACACTCTCTCCAGAAGAAGAAGAAACTTCAAATAGCAGAAATATTCAGCTCTAAGGATTTTAGTTTAAAGCTCAGTTTTGAAGAAACTGAAGGACCATCTACACAGTATTGGACAATCACATGAATGACGGTCAAAAGGAGCACAGATAACAAACAGCAGATGGCAGCAATACGCCCTTGCAGCGTCTAGTCCGTCAAATCTAAGAAGAAGAAGAAGAAGTGGAGGCGGAAGAAGAGAAAAAAAAAGAAAGAGTATATAATTGGGAGTTTGGGTAAAATGGGGCTCTGTCAACGTTTCTTCGGGTGGACCTTTTAAAGGTGAGACGCCGTCATGTACTAAGTGCTCTGTCAGGTTTGGTAGTAGTTCACTACTACAGCACAGCTAACTAGAGACAGCGTCAGTGATTTTAGCCTGAACAAGCTTACAAGCTAACTAGAACAATCGATGCAGTTTCCATCGTATTTCGTGGATTAGTGCTTTTGCAGTGTGAATACCACTTATATATCTATGTTGCCATATTAATCGTGTGAATGGCGATTTGGTTTGAGTACAGAACCTTTTTTGACTGCATTTTTGTTAGTTTTAGTAAAGCTAGGAAACACAATAGCTTCCACAGCCTACGTCAAACTAGCTAGTGGGAACAATCACGACTTAACTTGGGTAACGATATCAAAGACACCCGTGATAAATATCAGCCACTTCTTTCTTTATTACCGCTGATCAGGACACTGTTAGTATGTATGTTTTGTCTCATGTGACTACGCAAACTTGTCATCACACTGCAGCTTAGCATTAGTTGCATATGGAGAAGCTTTTTTCTTGAGATCACCTTTTAAATATTTAATAACGCCACGCACACATTGAAAATACTGATTGCAACAATATATTGTTGGTCATCTGGTGTTTGTTTGCTAACGTTAGAAGAGGTCATGTCGTTGAAGTGTGCTAGCTTCCTGCATTTGAAACGCTGACTGTGGTCCCTCAGTGACCACGTACTGGACTTGGTTTGTCCTTGCTCACGCGTCTTATCACTTTGTGGTAACGATCAACAACCCTTTGTTCACAGTGTAAATATACAGGACAGTGAAACAACTGCATTTTGAAATGAGGTACTTTGTTTAGTGTTGAACCCAAGCAGTCTTTGACAATATTTCAATATTGTGTCAACACTAACATCATTTGTTCAGAGATGCTTGTCCACATTAACCTGTATGGCCCTGGCTAGTGACATTATCTACTATGTTGATGCAAATTGTTGAATGGCAGATGGTGTATAATGCAGTCATATGGAGGAATGTTCTACTTATCACATCTCACTAAAACATGTTAGAATACATAACAGGCCTGTAGTATATATTCAGACTGTAGGACTGGGTCGTCAGGCTCTACTTTACTTCTGTTCTTTACTACCTTAAATAACTTTTTAATAACATATTACAACAATAAAGTGGGAATTGTAAATGCACTTACTTTGTAAACCAGTTTGGTTCTATTTCTCAAGCTTCAGCCATGGAATAACTTTTAACTTGCTCCAAACAGGCACTGGAACCTTTCCTTCTTTAGAGCACAGCGAATAATCAGGAGAAGGAGATGGAAAAGATGACATCCCTCCACTTGTCATCAGCCACTGCTTTAACACCCTCCAAGAGAGACTGAGAGGGAGTTAAAGTGATCTTCTGGCATACAGACAAGACAGGGAGACAAAGAGAAAACACAGAAAGCTATTAGCCACACTTAAAGCAAAGGAAATGGCTTTCTTGGACAATCCAGCCATTATTCTGGCCCACATCAGACAGTCCCATGTTACCAGTGATGATACAGGAATGTGTGAGATGGTACTAATAGACCAGGATGTGGATCTGGAGAAGTGCCAGCTGGCTCTGGTACCTGGCAGCAGCAGCTGTGGGTCAGGCTCCCTAAGTGAGGAGGGAAGCAGTGTGACAGATAATCATGCTTGTGACCTTTCCCAGTCCATGGACATCACCTCCAGCTGGGACTTTGGTATCCGTCGGCGTTCTAACACAGGTAAGCCCATCTCCAGGCTCTTGCTGCTCGGTTGCGCAGGCTTTCTGTCAAGCACAGTTCCCTTCTGTCTTTATAAAAGGAGCAGCTTCAAAGCCTGTTCTGTTGTTGTTTGGAGAGGGTTTGTGTGTCTAATCTGGGCTTGTGGCTTACTGATGCTTGTGTCAAATTGTGTGTGCAATTGAAATTTGTTGTTGCGCAGGTAAAGGGTATGGGGTTACATTGCAGGTCATTGTGTGAATTCTCAGTGCCGTTCATAATGATTCATGTATTTCTTGTATGGCAGTATACTTTGTGAATCAAGCAGTCAATGTCAGCTTGTTATTTTATTGTTGTGCCATTGAGTGAAAAACTGAAGATACATACTCCCGGACATGGAACTCAAACTTCTTGGTGCCTTCTGTGTTTTCTTTTTTGGGACATAAGTTTGACAGTAGAGATGGATGTAAAAATATTGTAGAGAGACCACCGAAATTAAACTTAAAAAAGGTACCCAGTTGGAATCTGGAGGTGTTGCCATAACATGATGTCTGCCTTATACCACTGAGAATCCTGCGGGGATCCCCTGCTGTGAACTTCTCTTGGATTTCTACAGTCATTATTCTAGGGGACCAGGCATAGAAAGTGAGCAGAAACTGCAGAGCATCTCACTTGGACATTTGCATTCACAGATGCACCTCCTCTGGAGAAAATACAGAGGATCTGCTGTATTCAGTGCATGTCTGGAAGCAGTTATAGTAGGGTGGAGACAAAAAACCATACCCAATCACGTGACATCCAATCAGTGGTCACAGGAGACAAATTTAAGATGCATTTTTATGCCAGGTGTGAACAGTCGAACTCAGCTGCACTTGTGCTCAGACCTCTAAGGATGGATTTTAATGCCAGCTCAGATGTGGGTGTTCGACTGGATTCACAACCACTGAAGTTCACTTAACTTATTTGCCCAGTTAAGACCTGGTATCAACTACCATCTAAGGTGAAATGAAAGACTAAGACTGTATGCAGCACAGTTGTAGCATATGTCTTTCTAGTTTGATCTGTCCATCTCATTTTATGTGTTTCCCTCTAGACTTTATGATTTGGGTTCGGCTGTGACAGTTTTGGCACTGGTTTTATTGGTTAGTGTCTTATGATGATCAGTTTTTACCACTCCTTACATCTACTTTCAGTTTAGCGGTTTTGATGTGGCAGCAGCAGTCATAATCATCTAGGCAGTTTTACACAAGAACACCAAAGGGGTGTGGTTGCCTTTTTGACAACCACATAAACAATATATAATTATTTCACTGACATTGAAGTCACTTTTCTCCAGTACAAAAACATGACATATCTACTTCAGTTCTCATTTCTCTATAACTTAATAACAGTATTGAGTTCTTTTAATTTTCAGTGGCACTGGCTTATCAAGTTTTGGTGTTCTAATCAGCAATAAATCGTTAAAGGAGTCATCAAATGAATATAATGTTCTGTGTTTATGTTGGGACATGGGTGTGTTATCTGTTGTATAGTGAGTTTCAATCATCCGTGTGAAGCTACATTCAGCTGTTTTATCTGGAAGGTAAATGTGGGTTTGGTGATAGAGGGAGTCCAAAGGTAGACACAACTCTCCTTTTGGCTCTCTTGACTTTTGTCTTCAGTTTGGTGGAGTGCTGGTAGTGGTTATGTGTTGTGGTTAGAAAGCGACAATCCTCTGAGACTTTCAGACTGACCTGTGGTGGCTGTCTCATCAGGACTTCAGCAAGATAGCCGTGAGAGACCGGGGGCTGCTGGTAAGATAAGAGGGATGAACAGAAGTATAACAAAGTATATAAGCTTTATTTGCTGTTCCTCTTTTTGTGTCACACAGTATTTGTGTGAGACTGTTTTTATAGCATGGCTCATGTCAGTGAAAGTATCACACTTCACACGGTAATGTTTAGAAAACTACCTTTTCCTCTGGTATTGCTCTCAGGATCCCAGTATAAGAAAAGACATTAAACCAAAATGTACAGATCGCTAATATTTTTATTGTGTTGTTCTCTATTTTTCCATAGGTGTGTGGCAACATTGACTTGTTTTTATATAACAGAAAGGTTAAAGTTGTTCTTTCTTTTCAGCCCAAAAACTTGAAAGGCTAAGGAAAGAACGGCAGAACCAAATCAAATGTAAAACCATTCAGTGGAAAGAGAGATCATCATCCCAGTCAGGTAGGATTTTGTAAAATGTTTAAGTACATATTAGGATTAGAAAATGTCAAAGCTGCACTCATGACAATTTTGTAGTAAAACACAACCTGTTACTTTGCACTTACTGATGTTTCTTTGCGTAGTGAATTTGTAAGTGGCATGTACTAAATATAAATACAGTTATATAGAAAAGTGTCCTGCCCCTGATTTCTATTTTTGCTTTTTTTTTTTTAAATATTTAAATGTTTCAGAGCATCCAACTCATTTTAATAAAAGATAAAGAAATTATAAGTAAACACAAAATGCAGCTTTTATATTAACATTCAATCAATCTAACATAAATCTAAAAATAGAAGAAAGCAGGAATGGGTCAAATACTACTAAAAATAATATCACAGCACTGTAATTATGTGAAATACTTACTGAAACCAAATTAAACTGCTTGATCAGTACCAAATGTCAGTGGTCCAGAACCTAGGGATTGGAACCTGCTAAAGGGGCCAATGGAAAAAAAAATGTGTTCTGAGATGATGAACTGGAATTATATGCATGCTTGTAGCAAAACTGAAAAACTACAGCTGACAGTAGTCACAACTGCTTGTGGAATGAAATACATGTATGCTGCACTTTCTCCATTATTCTCCCAGGTTTTGATGAAATCAAGGTTTTGCAACATTATGTTTTTTTCCTTTTATGCTTTTTGTCCAGTGGAGGATCTGGGGTCTGTGTTTGAAAAACGTGACTTCAAAGACAGGCCGCGGTTAACAGGTACTAAATCCACCCTTTCACTGCGATTGGAGCAGTGTCCCCAGCAGCTCAACAACCCCTTCAACGAATACTCCAAATTTGATGGCAAGGTGAATTATACTACATTTATACAACACTGTGCCTCAAGAATGACTTGAGGAAATTTCTTCAAATTTGGTACAAAAGTTCACTTTTACTCATTGATAAACTAATTAGAATTTTGATTTCACTGGTCAAGGTCAGTATGACCTCACACAATATCTTTAGAATGCCTCAAGAGAATAATTTCCAAAAACTTTCCCCTAGATCCCCCCCCCCCCTTTCCCACTATCACTCTCTCTTCTCTCCCCTCTCTTCCACCCATCTCTCCTCTCCTCCCCTTTTTCTTTGGAGTTGGTGTTGTGTAGTGTGGAGACTTGTGTGGTCACATTCTGTTCACTATGTGAACTCAAATCCATCCTGGGCCAAATATGAAGGACCACTTAATCAGTTGATGTCCTCTGACCCACCACAATTTTTGCGCTTCTCTGAGACCATGATATGATATGTTTGTGGCCACAATATTAACATTGACCAACACATAATATTTTCTTCATTGTAGATCTATGCAAATCATCAATTCATTAACCCCTTTTCTGACTGGCTTGCTCTACTTCTCTCCTGCATTTGATCACAAACACTCAAAAACACATGCACAGCACACACACAGACGTTGTCGGACACGTCACATGTAAACTCACACTGGGTTAAAACTTCTCGATTTTGTCTTTGTGAACAATATTGACAGTTGTGATCATTTGCGTAGAGCGGAGAGATATGATCACAAGTGGACAGTAACAGTAACACTTTCCTCTTTTGATTAGATATTCCAGAATGCATGTTATTCTGGGTCTGAACAGGGCCTTAGACTCATGGATTAACTGATTTAGTTTTGGGTTGTCAAGGTCATAGTGGCCTCAAAATGCGTTTTTGGCTGTTTGAAGATGACATCTCAAGTCTGCCTTTTAGGAATTAATTATGACTAGTTGTCACTTGGATTCCAAGATAAATTATTGAATTTTAGAAATTATAAGATTGCAGGGGTCAAAGGTGAAGTCTTGGTAACCTCACATAAGTCTTGGAAAAATATTTCTGTAGACTGAACTTCTGCCTTTGTTGTCATAGGCATTTCTAGGTATTTCCAGTTCTCTTCATGATTGTCTTTCATCACTTCATGTTTTAGGGCCATATTGGCACAACAGCCACAAAGAAAATCGACGTCTACCTTTCAATGCAGATGGCTCAAGAGAAAGTACATCCAATGACAGTGGTGACCATCGCAAATGCCCGTGTCCATGACCTCATCGGGCTCATCTGTTGGCAGTACACAAGCGAGGGACGAGAACCCAAACTCAAGTGAGGGAAAACATGTTAACAGCATTTTCATTAAATGTATTCTATGTAACACTTCTGTCACACTCTGCACTTGTTTGTCACATCTCTCCACAGTGAGAATGTGAACGCATACTGTCTCCACATTGCAGAGGATGATGGTGAGGTGGACACTGACTTCCCTCCACTTGACTCCAATGAGCCAATCCACAAGTTTGGTTTCAGCACGTTGGCCTTGGTGGAGAAATACTCCTCTCCTGGTCTCATATCCAGACAGTCGCTGTTTGTCAGAATGTAAGGAGTACAACAGTTCAGGGTTATTTAATGTTGAATCATCACACTCATTTAGTGAAATAGGAACCCCATGCAACCAAAAGCTCTGGTTTCTCCGATAGCAGTTAAGGGAGATTTGGGCGAACAAATTTTGAGCTTTTTTGGAAGGAGACTGGTTGTCACGTTGTATTGAAGCTATTTTCCTGCTCTATATTCAACCTTTATTTTAAACACTATGCTTTCCCCTATACGAAAATAAAGAATTATGGGTGAAAAAAACTGTTAAAGTTGAATTGCAAAAAAAAAAACCTGTACACATCCAGAAAGTTTCAACTTTGGTTTTTGAGTCATTGCTGAGATATCATTACTGGCATTGCATCACTTGAACTGCATGATCAGGCACATGTTAAAGGGACACTTCACCCAAAAATTAAAATTCACTCTATCTATGCACCACTATGCTGATGGAGGGGAGGTTGAAGTGTTTGAGTCCCTTAAACACTTTTGGAGTTTCAGGGGTAATTCAGCGATGCAGCCAAATGTAATACAATTGAAATAAATGGTGACCCACTCTTGAAATGTAAAAAAAAAAAAAAACAGAAAAAACATACTGCTCCTGTGGTGTCATCCAAGTGTAAGTAAGCCCCGGTATTCAAATTTGGTGTTTACACCTAGTTTCTATCCTAAATGTCCTCTGTGATCCATGCGTGAGGATATCAGAGAACATTTAGATTGCCATTCTAGCTATCATATGCAACCACAATGTAACTTTGCATGCAAATTTGCATGTTATTTCAGATAAGTAATGATATCTCAGCAACAATTCATAGACCAAGTTGTGGATGTTTTGATGACAAGTTTTATTAATGTCTATGACAGAACAGCCTAAAAGTGTGATGTTTTGACAGGAAATGATTCTTGAGTCTGAATTTTATTTGTTGATTGTATAATGGTTGAATAGTTGATATATATTTTATATATTGATCTCTAATTTTTTTAGGTTGAAATGCCCATCCACAACAAAAACACCCAAAACCTTTTCTGCTATTTCCATTTTTAGAAATGCTGCCCATGGTTTTTCTCTGATCCCTGTGGACAGTATGAAGGTTACTATGAAGGAAATTCTCCAGAAAGCACTCAAGAAGAGGAAAGGCTCACAGAAAGGCTCCGGTAATTATGCATACAATTTCCTGCTCTCTTTAAATGTAACCTTAAAGCTAAAGCCAGAACAGATAAATGTGGTAATGTGGGGTCTTTTTCATTGATTAAGTCAATATATGTATTCAGTTAGTTTGTTCTTTCTCCTTTTGTACACTGGTACTTTGCATTTAGGCACAAGCATGTACACTGTGGACCACAAATAATAATAAAGAAGAAGTTAGTCTGTGAGATACCAAACTGAAGTTGCATTTGCTGCCAGATGTAAACATAAACCACCCAACCCTCACCCTTTACAGATATGAGGGCTTATGTTTTTGATAAAAAACACAATGTACCCGATATTTAAGCAGCTACCTAACATTAGTACAAAGCAGAAACAACTTCTCCTCATGTAAATGATCAACTTCTGTAAATTGCAATTGTTGACATGTGTAGCAGGAAGTACACTGTAGTTCTCTGGCACACTTTGAAAAGGGAGGGGATGATGTGAGGTATTCAGTTTGTTACAATATGCAACTTGAATATTAGATGCGCTACACACTTAACCTTTAAACCAGATAAGGGTGGTTCCTTTAATGCCAATCAAATGTTCCAGGCTCTGTAGTAATGTGATGATTAATCTAATGAATATTACATTTCTTGTGTACAATTTGCTTCAAAAAAAGCAAATTAGTAGTGTTATCACACAGTTTTGAAGGTTTGAAATTTCTAAATTTAGGTTTTATTTTCATACTGTCGTTCTGTTTTGGTCATTAACATTCCTATTAGTTACTTTGGTGAATACAAAGTTCTCATAACTTGGTGAGCTCACTTAAAAAGAGTCTTGGCTGGTCAACAGTCAGTCAGACAGGTTGGAAACTAACTAACCATTTAGCCTAAGTACAAGGGTGCAACTTTATTATTACTGATAGCACTGGAAAAAGGTCCATATCAACACAACAAAAACATTGAATAAAAAAAGCTGAGTTCTGTTACTGTTTTCTTATTCCATCATTCTCCAACAGGGCCCATGTATCGCCTAGAGAAGCAGACAGAGCCAAATGTCGCAGTAGACCTGGACTTGACACTGGAAAGTCAAAGCACCCTGGAGTTTTGCCTGGTCCGAGAAAACAGTACGTAATCCCCAGTAGGTCAGTTGGGTTCCACTAACCCAACTGCCTTATCTTCTCAGTGATGAACTACAGCTGGTCACACTTCACCAGCTTCACTTCAATAAACAATGGTTGTAGACGTAATTGTTTCAATAGTGATCTTACCTCCTTAGGAGAGTTTGGACTTTACTTGGATATTGAGAATGAATCACTCTGAAGTCATGTTAGATCAGTTTCTTCACTGCCACAGTTTCAGATCTGCAATGATAAAGCACAGGGACTCCTGGAAAGAAGTCAAGTCAGAAAAATGATGAGACATTAATGTGATAAAGAGGGAGAAGAGGACAAATAATCTCCATGTGTCCTCCAACAATCTAAGCCTATAGCAGCATGCCTACAAGCTGTTCCAAGGCCGACCTAAAAGAGGTCCAATTATAAGCTTTATCAAAAAGGAAGGGTCCCCTCAAACAGAAACTGGGAGATGATTCCACAGCAGAGGAGATAGCTTATAGCTCTAGCTCCTACTCTACTTTTTGAGACTTAAGGGATGGCAAGTTATCCTGAATTCTGGGAGTGCTGTGCTCTAGTGGGGTGATATGGTAGTATGAACTATTTAAGCTATGTTAGTATCATCAAGGGCTTTGTAGATGAGGTTGGGATGAGTAGCTTTTTTGTTTTAGAATATAAGACAAGATCGTGAATGTCCCTTGTGCATTCTTTTTTTTTTTTTTTAAATTGGTAATATTGAGCTTGACATGAGTACAGCAATGTCATTTTTTTGTTAAAGCCTTATACCAGTCCCAGATTATATAGTGACCTGTCCCACATTATCAAATTCAGGTAGCATTTTCTTTTATAGCACAAAGAACACCACTAGCTGTTTCATGTCTCTTCTGAGTATGATATCTCAGTTTTTTCTTCTGGTGTGGTTAGAAAACATTTTATGGATTACAGAAAGGTATAATATGTTGATTTAATGTGTAAAACAGATATTGAAATAAGTCATGGAAGTCAGAATTTCAGATTAATCGAATTCACCCCATGTATTATAAACTTCTTTTTTAGAGGAGTCTAGTGTCTAGTGCAGTGCTATCAACACAATGATCAACCTGAGTGGAACAACGGTTTTCAGAGGATATCCCTGTTAACTTTAGTATTACAGCACCAACTTAAGAGAAAGAGAGTAATTTTCTGTCTGATTTGGGCTTAAACCCAGAATTTCTGTCTGTATCTGTATTTTGGAAAGAGTAATTTTTTGTGTCTGAGGCTTGATCCCAGAATTTTTGTTTGCAGCAATATTTTTTGTTTGCTCATCTTTTGTCTCTAGGCTCTAGGGGAGAGGAGAGTTCAGAGGAAGACCCTCCTGTTGACATCACCACAGTCCAAGACATGTTAAGCAGTCACCACTACAAGTCCTTCAAGATCAGTATGATCCACAAGCTACGCTTCACCACAGATGTCCAGCTAGGTACACACTGCTTGCTTACTTAAGCTGTACAATTTAGATGTAATCATTTTTCTTTGTTTTCTTAAAGTTATTCAGGATAATGTTTATTGGAAAAACTCTTGGTAATTTTTGAAACAATTGGCCCTTGACAAATGACAAAAGTAGCATACACAGTTTCAACAACTATCAAATGCTGGTTGTAATGAGCATGTTCTAGCTGCAGCTGGTTAGTAAATTAACTTAGAACTTTGATTCAAACTGTTGATTGCTAGTTAGCCTTGATATTATAATAAGCCAGGTCTTCATTTTTATCTGTCAGTCATGCTTAGCTGCTTACTGCTTGGAAATCTTTGAGCAATCGTGCCAATTGATGAGTGTGAAAAACATTCAGGGTAAGATTCAGGGATTAGCTGATTAGATTTGGATGGTGGTAGGTCAAGGTCATGGTGGCCCCCCGCTTTTGACCCATGATATCTCAAGTCTGCCTTCACGTCATTTCTTCACAGTGTTTGCCAGTTGTCATTTGAACTTTATTTGATTTCAGTGGTCAAAGGTCACAGTGACCTCATGTGCGTCTAGAAAAATTATGTTTTAATTATATTGACTGAAACTGCATTGGTGTGCGGAGGCATACAACCACAGGGCAGCAATTCTAGTTTATTCATGAATTGACATACCATTGCTTCTTCAGGCATTTCAGGAGAGAAAGTGGAGATTGATCCTGTTACCAATCAGAAGGCCAGTACTAAGTTCTGGATTCGGCAGAAACCCATCTCTATTGACTCAGACCACCTCTGTGCCTGTGACCTTGTAGAGGAGAGAAGCCCCAGTGAGTGTACCATGGCTTATTTTATTCACCTTATACATATAAAGCAATTCATACTTACATTATCACCGTGGAACATAAGGACTTTACCCAGTTGTCACACAATAGTAGATGTTTACATTCTTTTCAGTCGAACACAGCCAGAAGTTATTGGGGTCGATTTTTTTATATTTTGAGATTAGTGTCCAATGCCTTCACTCATAGAGCTGATAAAACATATTCTGCAGGTATTGTGGCTGCTGTGGGATGATGCCAGTGCTCCCCCTAGTGTCAATTTCACCATTGTACAATTAAGATATTTTGAACTTAATGTTTCAATGCCGGATGTAATGTACCTGAGAGAAAAAGTATGCTACTCCCAAGTAGCTGGGGTTGTAAAACATTTATCACACTTTGGGATTTGGGGTTGTTGTGGGACATCAAGCAGTTGTAAGCCTTTCATCGACCGTTCTTAAGCACATTACATAAAATAAAAACATTTTGTTGGCACTCATAGATTAACACCAGTACTCTGCTAGCAGAACTAGAGGATGAACACAAGATTGATACTGATCAGTTTAATATGAGTGTAAGTATATTAGATTAGATAATATTAGGGCAGATAGAATATATGAGTAATAGTCACATATTCACTTTCACATTCAAAGATTCTTTTGTCATGTAAAGATATTTAAATTTTTTTATTATAGTGCTTTCCTTAAATTCTGTGGTAATCCCTGGAAATCTGGAAATAACATTTAATTGCCAAAAATCATTTACCCTTTTTATCTGCATCTTTCCGGAGATCTGACACTCATTGTTTCACACATATAGTTCCCACAAACTAACATGACTTTAGATGTGCAGACATGGACAGAAGAAGTTATAGATGTGATTTGTTCATGACTTCTGATGTCTGTCTCATCAATGTTTTTCTTCTGTTTTACAGCTCATGCAATTTTTAAGCTAACTTATCTCAGCAACCATGATTACAAGCCCCTCTATTTTGAGTCTGATGCTGCTACTGTCAATGAAATAGTACTAAAGGTGAGTTCTGACTGAATGTCTGTATTCCAGGGTGTCTGTCTTGGTTTTTTTCTCAATCAAATATTATGTAGGGACATGTACAGAGCTGAGTAAATAGACGATGAGACCAGTCTTCACAAATGTGGAAGGAGAAACAGACACTGTCCCCAAAAAATTAAGGGAAAACTTAAATCACACACAGGATCTTCTGACTCAGGTCAGTAATTCCGAGCTCCGAGGTATAATGGAACTAGTGATAGACCGATATGGTTTTTTCAGGGCCGATACCGATTATTAGTAGTCAAGGAGGCCAATAACTGATATTTGGAGCTGATATTCATTTGCAGTAAAAGTGAAAATATTGGCGTCAAAATTTTGAATAATACAAACTCCAAAACTTAAATTTGTTTAAAACAAAGATGTCTATTGTCTAACAAAAAGTGGCTCAGCAGCATGTCTAATAAAGTGAAATGAAAACTTAAACAAATAAATAGCTCCCTGAAGTTTTCAAATGTAAATAAAGTTTATAGTTCAAACAAAAACCAAAAGTGCAGGGAGTTCCAAGGCTGACATATGCTCAACTCAGCATGCTTAATTTATTGCAGCATTTGGGAAGCCTGTAGTTTATTTTATTATGTAAATGTTATCTCTCTCACTCTCACTTTCACTCTCACACTAGGGCTGTCAACGAATATTCTAAATTCAAATATATATTCTAATATTTCAAAAAGATTCGATTGTGAAAATTAATATTCGACTGTGGAAAAAAACATATCAGCGGCTGCTTTGCGAGTGGGCGTACTGCATGGGTTAGGTTAGGATACGTTATAAGTCAATAATCAGTAAGGGTGACTATATGGCGCGTTATATCCAGCACAATCAGGATCTAGTCTGTCATTAGCCTGCAAAATAAAGTTTGTAAATGTCTGTGTGTCTAAATGTCTAACCCACACACATACGTCTACTATCACAGACTATTTTCATATCGATATGTTCAGCAGCCCGTTTGGAGGACAATTATGTTTATATAACGTTATTGGGCTCACAGTAATTTTACTAGTAGTTGTGAGTTGTAGAGAGCTAGATGTTTATTACAATTTCAGGAGAGTTTGCTGCCTTAACTTACCTTCGAAACATATATCTGCTCTCTGTAGCTTCTCCTCTCGTCAAAACTGTTTCTCCTCTCTGCGGTGTGTGTGAGCAGTGTGCATGCACAGCTCTCACTGCTGATTGGCTGTTACCTGGCTCTGTGTGTAACCAATCAGATGGTGCTGTGGGTGGGACAATGCTGGAGACAGAGTAGAGACCACAGACAGAGAGGCGGGGCTGCTTCAGAGCCAAAATAACCCGGTCTGAAATTGATCTCTTATCGGCCATCGGATTTAAAAAAAGGCTAATGCCGATATGCGTCAAAATGCTGAAAATCGGCGCCGATAATCAGTCAATCCCTAAATGGAACACAGCACAACTATCTCCATTTGACAAGACTATTGTTTTGAAAACTTGTATAATATCAACTAGACCTTTGTCTAAGCATGAGACAGCAGAAAGATGCTTGCTATTGAACATATATACTCATCAACTCTACAAAGTAATTTGTCAGATGTCAGTCTTGTGTTTTCTTTGTGTTTTATTAATGCGATCGGAATGCATGAAATCATACAGAGTTTGCCAATTTGTCATGTTAAGAACAATACAAAAAATCAATACATATCATACTATGTATGTATTGAGTGTGGCAAATAAAAAATTCTGGTGCTTTTGATTATCAGGTGAACTATATCCTGGAGTCGCGGGCCAGTACCTCTCGTGCTGATTACTTTGCTCAGAAGCAGCGGAAACTGAGCCGCCGGACCAGCTTCAGCTTCCAGAAGGAGAAGAAGAGTGGCCAGTAGACACCTGTTTGTCTGCATACACACAGACATGATAGTCTCATACACTGACAGCATCAGGCTCAACAGGAGTGGAGACTGACTGGACAGTCAAGACGGAGCAGGAAACACAGCTCAAGCTCGTTTAAATTATATTGTAAAAAAGAAAGACTTGTGGGAAATGTTGGTTGTCATGTTGCCATCAGTTCCTTTTTTATTCACTGCCTCTGAATTTATCCATCCTCCAGGATATATTTGTACAGCTTGGACACGCTGGTTTGTACACCCAACAAGCAAATCAAGAGCTGCATCCTATCATGCGACATGTTTTCTACATGTTCGCCCCAAGGTTCCTGCATCTTTTTCACAATATAATAAAGAAAATGCTTCACGTTGTTAATGAACTGTACATAGGCATTTTACATTGAGTAGATTAAATACTTATGATGAAATAGCCCTGTCTGGATTAAAAAACAAACAGGTGAGTACCTTCTGTCTGGCTCCTTTACATTATCCACACTCAATTGGCAGTTTATTACAGTCTAATATAATGCCTAACACCTCAAAGGTGTTTGTAGCTTTCTTTCTGAATGGTTTTGTAAATGAACCTTTTCGAATAAGACAGGCTGAGGGACTCAGAACCTGCAACACCGCTGCTGCTCAAAGAGCTGCTTACCTCTTTGTTCAAAGTTCAGTGAAGCTCCACTCAGTACACACAACCCCTAACTGGAGAATCAGTTCTCGTTTCCATTGTCGTTAACACACCCCAGGTGACGTGAACACACTGTTGTAATGATCAACAGTGTTATTTACATTGACGAATCTCAGCTGCTATTTCATTCATATCGAACGTATCTTGTTCAAATCACATGTTTGACACTGCACTTCCCCGGGCCATTAAGGAGACACATACAAAGTGTGAGGAAGTGTTAGGCCAATAAGATTTATGGTTTGCGAGGTATGTACTTCACATACAGACAGATGTTTGTAGAATTAGTGGAGAGATGAGGTGAACAATATAACATTAATATGCTGTTCAGGACTGCACTAGTGTTAGCTGGGTTTTCCTAGTGAGGAAAGGTGTTTGAACTCCTTAGTTTAAATGCTTTATCCCTTATCCCTGCACATAGTCTTAGGCTATTTCATCCAAAAGTGAGCAACAGAACAAAATATGCCTGCATCCTTTGTGTCATGGCTGACTTTTATGAAGGTTGACCAATATTTTTAAGCAAGAAAATACATTTTTGGCAATTGCACACCAAACCAGGTATAGAAACATACACAGTTTAAGAAGAAACCAAAATTGTCATGCTGAGCCTTGCCTACCAGTTTAGGACAGTAAAAACGCAATGGGTTTTTGGGAGGAGGGAAGTGACAGTTTTCCTCATTAATATGTCATTTACCTTACCATTCCTATCCCTAACCCTAAACAGTCCTGTCCTATGCCAACCCCCAGCATTCATATCCAGGGCAATTTCCTCCTGGAAAGTGGTAGGAGTTGGAGATGTGTCGTCCATCTTATAAAGAGTCTTGGATTTGAACAGTCAGAAGTACAGCTTGAGTCTTTATGCAGCAGAGCTTCTCGAAACTCGTCCGTTTTTCACAAACTCAAAAATACTGTTGGTTGTCAACATAATACTGACAACTTTCACAATAGTTTTAATGTCTAGACTATATCTGAATATGAAACAAATCATATTATTTAGTCATTTTTATGACATGTATCACATGTCAGAAGGTTAAAGTTGCATGTAGTTGCAAGTTGCAAAAATGAAAATTCACTCATTTACTCACCACTATGCTGATGGAGTGTTTGAGTCCACAAAACACACTGCCCCTATGGTGTCATGGGTGTCATGCAAGTGTCTGTAAGCCCCGGCATTCAAATTTGGCTCAAAAGCTAATTTATAGTGTTTTTAGCCTAAATGTTCATTGTGATCTGTGTGCAAACTGCTCTGGAGGAGGATAACAGCTGGCTCATATGGGGTCAACATTTCTGTTACGTAGTTTGTGGCCAGACCAAGGTGAGATTTAAAAGTAAAATCCGAAAATCAATTCTCAACCGATCAGACAGCCAGAGGAGCAAGTCTTGAAAATATGAATGCGTGAATGGTCAGTGGTAAGGTCAGAGCGTAAGAGCATAGTTTTATGAAGTGAAGGAAACATGACTGGGCAACTTTTTTTTTACCTGTGACTTACTAATGACAACTGATAATTTGAAAGTAGGAACTGGAGCATTATACCACAGGCCAAGAAAACAACTTGTTGCAAAATGGAAGGTTTAGAACAGGCATTGCACTAGTAGGAGAAATTTGGGAGAGGAATAATAACTTGAATACACTAGTTCAATGATATCAATGGTCCTATACATATACAGTGTTACAGCTTGGCTCAAGGTTGTAATAACAGAGAAATCACACACACCGATAAGGCCGAAACAACATCATTTATTCAAATAACCAAAGAAATAAACTCAAACGATTACAGTAAGTATGGTGAGTATCAGTAGCGTAAGGCATGTGTGCATGAGGGAAAGTGCAGGTGAGAGTGTTGAAACAAATATAGAAACAAACCAAACTAAACCAATACAGAGGCCATGATGTCAGGTGGCAGCTGCCCAGGGAGAGAGAACACAGACTGGGGAAGCAACCCCTTTATGCCTTTTGCTCCTTCCACCTCTCAGCTCTCACCCATCAGTTACTCTGACGACCCACCCAGGCTCCTTCAAGGAGTAACATCAACAGGAAGTCACTTGGTGGGCCGTCACAACGGTAATTGATAGGATAGATATGGTTACCTACAATTCTATTTATATTTGTTTTTCAAACCATAATTTTAGTTCCTCCAAAGTATTCAGTTAAACCGTTTTGCATCTTTGTTTACAAAACACAATATAAAAGTCATAATTTTAATAGTACAGTAAACCCAAAATAGTATTCTCAGGAACACAGGGATCTAGAATAATTCATCAGTTAAACTCCAAAGTGTTGTGCTAATCTGGGACACAATGCACACAATGGACAATAAATACGTTTTACCCAGACTCCTCTAATCAGTGTGTAAAGTGAAGCTCTCAAGACTCCCTCATACATTATTTTTGGCAAAAGTTAAAGTATGGCATGGAATCCTGGAATGGATATCTGCAACTTCACACAGCTTCACTGCTGAGGTGTATTTTTCAAAATGTAGAAAAGAAAAAACCCAAAACTTTGGGATGGAAGATTATGTTTTCATCCCTCCTTTTAAAACAATGGGAAAAAAACAGAGGCTCCTAAAAATGTTCCTTCTTTTTTCAAAAATAAACTAATGAGAAGACTTCGGTTTTTGAGTTTTTCATACCAAAAATTTCAAACAATAAATTTATACCAACTACTTGTGCTTTGTAAAGATAACAAAACAAGGTCAACTTAAATGTTTATTTAAAACTGTCTGTTCTGTATCCTTCAAGTTGTGACAGACACATAATGGTCATCTATTAGCCTTTGTAAGATCTGTGTGGACAATGCACTCTTCCAACACAACTATACTTCACTTTGAGGGGGTCACAAATGTCAACTGGCTGTGGGCAGGGAGGCAGTTGCATCCACGTCTTCTTGACTCCTGTGGTCTGCCTATCATCTGGATCAGTGTCCGGTCGAAAGGATGAGGTTGTACCAAATTAAGATTGAATACTCACGCCTAGCATTCACCCTAATAAAAATCAACAACATTTCTGATTGCTTATCCATCATGCAAGTGGTGAGAAGAACATGGGTGCTAGCTCATTCATAATAGTTTTATCTAGATCGACCTTATACATTGGCAAGTCTGTATTATAGTTTTAAACTATTTAACATATAACCCTAACGACTTATGGCCAAGGAGAGACAACAGTAGTTGGTGGCATCTCAGGAGACCTTTGCCACTAAGACTGACCGAGCAGAGGAACTTCTGCTTTACAAGGACAACTGCAATAAGAATAAAGCTCTAAGGTTTTGTGTGGGATGTACAGTACCTACATTGCAAATGTAAATGCAGACACAAGAAGTTTAACACTGTCTGGGTACACACTTACTCATACAAAAGAAGTCTGGTTTAGCTCTGACATAAGACAAGATTACAAGAACAAACTAAACTTCCACTCCAGTGTGTTACCATAAAACAATAACAAATATAGTTTTTCTAAATGTTTGTTTACAGGTAGCTTGATAAAAGTCCAGTTAATGTCTCTTCACATCCCTCTGTGACTGGTCTTATTTAATTTTATTGTAGCCTATTTAATGTTGATTCAAAGAAAACACATCACCTTTAAAACAACAGGCTTCACTCAAAGAGGAGGGAAGATGACACGTGGATGAATTATTATATTCATTACATTATTACTATACTATCTTTATATTTATTTATTTACTATTTTATTATTCTTTAAATATTTTTGTTAATTTTATTCAAAATCATATCTAGATGAGCAATTATCCATGGCCTACCTCTTCGGCAAGAGGCTACAGAGAATAACTCAATCTGGATCAAAGCCACACTAGAACTATTGCTAAATTTTCAGTAGAACATTAAAAACCCATCTTTCTCCCTAAATCTCTCTTACCTGAACTAACACAGCAGTCACACATGCACATGCACCCACCAGGCCTCAGACATTGTGACAGTAATCCTTCTGCTCTTATATAGCAGTTGGCAAAACACTTTTAGGTGCATTATACTGCCACCTTCAAAAAAATGTATATTAGCACTGTTCTGGTTAAAAAATGAAGCCTTAGCTTGATTTCTTCGTATCCACCTGAGTACTAAGAGAATAGCCAACAGTTCCCCTGTAAAAACTGATATGTGATTGTTAACTCTTTTGTTTGACATAATATTGAACTCTTGGATGGTAAAAGCAACTCCTACTTTATTGTATGTTTTTGATGCATTAGTGTATATTTAAAAATACTCAGGATACTGTCTTTCTATATCAATATTGACTTGTCCTCAATATTTCCCATTTTATTTCATTTTAAAATGTATACGTCAACCACCGCCGGCTGTGGCTGAGCAGTAGAGCGGTCGTCCCATAAGGTCGTCGGTTCAAACCCAGTCTTCCCTTCTGCATGCCGAAGTGTCCTTGGGCAAGATGCTGAACCCCAAATGGCCTATCATAGAAAAATAAGTGCTGCCCATAGATGCACTGTATGGATGTGTGTGTGAATGGCAAACTCTAAAGTACTGTACTGTAAAGCACTTTGAGTGGTCATCAAGACTAGAATAGCGCTATATAAATACAGACTATTTACCACCAGCTGTGGCTCAGGTATAAGTGTGGTCTGTCCACTAACCAGAATGGTTGGGATTCAATCCCCGTTTGCCCCATTGGACAAGCTACCAAACCCAAAATTGCCCCTGACAGCTTTGCTGGCAGTTT